GCAGAGATTTCTGGTCTCTCTGGGTCCTGTTTGCTCCAAAGCCTCCTTTTAAAAGAGTGCGGGAGCCCCCGTGTGGACATTTTGTGAATACTGTGCGCTTTCTCTCAAGCTCATTTCATTCCATGGTTGGTGGTATTATTTCAGGAGCCTGCAGAACCCTTTGGAGGTAGGACCTAGCTGACAGATGTGAGTCCCCACGGGTGAACCTCTGAAGGTTATGCCTGCGCCTTCCTCCAGGCCTGCACTTTCCCTGGGCTGATGGTCCATGCTTCTGGCTTCTCTAACTCCCTGGTGTCTCCATTTTTACTTTCACAGCTTCCCTCCTGCCCCAGTAAGGGCTGGTGGAAGGGAATTTACACTGCTACACATTCTCTGGCGCTCCAGGCCTTCCTCTGAAGCATGGATGTTTCCATGACTTTGTAACTTTTGTGTTCTCTGTGTGTTCAAATACAGCATCACACTGATGTAGGTATCTGAATCCCATTGAATCATGGCTGCACTGCCCTCTGAGAGCCTAGGCAATTTCACAGGGAAAATCTCTTGGAAGGCCCCAGAGAAGCAATTTGTGGTGTGGGATTCAGGGCGGAAGGTGCATCCATGTGTCCATGCAGAGGTACGGTCACCCTCCATCCTTAAAACGGGGTCAAGAGCTGCTGGTAAAATGAAATCTCTCAGAACAAGGCTGAAAAAAAAATCAATTTTGTTTTGATTTTTTGAGTCAGGGTTTCTCTATGTAGCTCTGACTGTTCTGGAACTTGCTGTGTAGACTATACTGGCTTGAATTCATAGATCCACCTGCTTCTGCCTCCCGAGTGTTGGAATTAAAAGTGTGTGCTACCACCAATCTCCCAGCTAGTTACAATTACAGGCTTGTACCACTAGGACAGGCTAGGACATTTTTCGGGAGATCATTATCAGCCTGGTACAGATTGAATATAAAACAATTTCAGTAGGTGGGCTGGGGAGATGGCTCAATGGTTAAGAGCACTGGTAGCTCTTCCAGAGGACCCAGCTTTGATACTTAGCACCTACATGGCAGTTCACAATCACCTATAATTCCATTTCTAGGGGATCTGATGACCTCTTCTGGTCTCCAAGGCAAGTACATGGTGCAAATACAGGCAAAACACATATACATATAAAATTAAAAAATGAAATTTTTTTCATCAGGGATATCTGAGGGAATTTGTTGAATCCCAATTCCAAACAAAATCTTCAGGTGCGTAGCCTTTGGTAGAGGAAACTACACTACCCTAGGAACATCTGGTCAAGGCCCTTCTCTGTGCTGTTAGATGGGCGAAGACTGAAAACCAGGGCTCCTCCCCCAATCAGAGAAAAATGCAGATCAGAAAGGACAGAGGCACCAACGCAACAAGGCACATACACTGTTAGCATCCCCGTGTGGACGTAATGTGTGGGTGGCATCCAGGGTTGATCAACAAGGCGAGGCCTTGCTTTTTGCTGTGATTATTCTCAGCAGGCAACGCTTGCTCCAGCATATGGAGCTCCAGCATTCCTGCTTCTGAGAATGTGCCCTGCAACTCTCAACTGAATGGATGCCAGCCAGCTCCCTGTGACTCCAAAACTCAGGAAGACTTTGTATGAACTAGAAAGAGAAGGAGGGAGGAAATTAGATGGGGCAGGAACAAGGAAGAAATGGAAAGAGGAAGAAGTCAGGGAAGAAGAATAGAAGGGGTAAGGGAGGGGAAAATGATCCAAGACCTGAAGGCAATGGACTGTTGGAGTTAGGTTCTCAGGGTATTTTCTCCACGCTGCATTCTTGCCTGGACACAGGAAAGTCGGTCTATTTTGGTGTGAAGAATAAATGGATAGGCAGGAACTCTGTAGAACAGGGTGAACAGATAGGCCTGAATCCCTCTAGGGAGGGAGAAGTTCCAAGAGACCTCTCCTTAGAGGTGGACAGCCAATGGCTGAACGAATAGCAGGGCTGGTGCAGGATCAGGGATCAGTGATTGGTGCCAGCTCAACAGGCAGAGATTCCCAGACAGATGCACAACAGACAGGTAGTCTACTTGCTTTGTAAAACTCCAAATCTACCAAACCAGGACCACACAGAGAACAGTCCCTGCCTGCCATTCAGTCCTCAGACACGTCATAGAACAGGCTTGAAGGAAGGAAGGCAGGATCTGTTGGTAGTGTTTCAGATGTCACGTGTGCAACCTTTGAATGTTCCTCATATCTGTTCTCCCTGGGTCTGGGGCACCCCTGAGGTAATGGTGATCTGGTCAAGATGGCCGAATACTGACCAAATTTACATGACTCTTTGGGATCCATAAAGACATAGGCCACCTCTGCTATCTGCTGATCAGAGAAGAAACAGGATCTTGGTATCCCTTGAAATAGGTCCATGAAACCCTCTTCTCTCCTAACCATCTTTATTACAGCAATAGAAATCAATTTAAAACTAGAAAGATCTGTTACATCTCATCTTTAGCCAGTGGATTATATAGGGAGGGTACTCAAAGTCAGTTTGGTCTTGTCCCTCTTGGCAGGAGGCTTACCTCGTCTCCGAGATTCTACTTTTTCCTCACTAAGATTTAACTCTGAGGAATCGGAGGCACCAAGACCTTTTCTGTGTTTCTCCTGAGCTGTTTGTGTGACACCTAGAATTAAGGTTAACTCCGAAGGAACCATTGACAGCGCGGCTGTGCAGATCCTGTACTACCGAATGAAGTTTAAATACGCTCGTTACAGACTGTGAAGTGCCCCTATTGGGAGCTTCAGCGGGCCTAGCAGATCCGTGTTGGAGACTAGCTGCGACAGGGATACCACTTACCAGGGTAGGAAAATGGGGATTAAAAAAGTTAGTAAAGAGAACAAAGACATGAGTGAAAATAATAAAACAGAAAACATAGGATAGTACTGGAAGGGAGTTCCAGTGAATACTGAAATCATCGGGTTTAATTTTCCATACGCTTTTAAACCCCAATACAACAGTGGATGGGGGTGGGGAGAAGGTGAAAGACTGCTTTAACATGATACAAAGGACAACTAGAACAGTTACTTGCTTCAGTACTTAAGACATCAAGTCAGTCAAGTCATTAATTTTTTTTTCTTTTCTTTTTTTTGGTTTCTTAAGACAGGTTTTCTCTGTGTAAGAGCCATGGCTGTCCTGGAATAGCTCTTGTAGACCAGGCTGGCTTCGAACTTGCAGAGATCTGAATGACTCTGTCTCCCAAGTGCTGGGATTAAAGGCGTGTGCCACCACCGCCCGGCCAAGTCATTAATTCTTGAGAAAAGCATTCTGTTGTTTAGGCAGTGAAGCCACACTAGACCAAGTATACTAAAGGCAGTCACTCCCTAGGTCAAGCCTTATTCAAAAGAAGGTGCAGAAGTACTTTAGAATTCTCTGACCTTAGGTCAGGGTGGAGTGGATCTACCTGTATGGGTCATCTTAACGTCCAAACGCCAAGTAACCACGCCCTAGGTTAGGGTGTGTAGTCACACTTGTCAACAACTTTGAGCAAGCCGAAACTCTCTGACCTTCCGACCAGGTGGAAACAGGCTCATAGTTTTGGGCCTCCACAATCCAGATCATTTTTATAATGGGGATCAGATTTTATACATGTTACAGTTGGTTCTGTTTTAACTGAGCACATGCTATTGGCAACCATCTACAATGCTGTGGGCACCATGAATCCTTCCCTTTTTGTGGCTGAGAAGTCATAACCCACCATGAGGACCATCCTATCTTCCCTACATACAGGACACCCCCTGGTGCCTGAACTGAACACAGACCCCTCCAGGGGCAGCAGCTGCAGGCGCAGTTCTGTTGCCTGTCACTTGTGTTCAGCAGGGACAGACCTGGTCACAGCCCCTCCTCTGCACTGTCCTGCCTTCACCCTGTCCATCTCCCCTGTCCCTTTCTGGGGCCTCTACTCATCTCTGAGCCTCACTGATCTCTTTCCATAGCCTTTCTTGTGTTAAGAGCACTTCTAACACCTGAGACACATATTACATCACGCACATTCATTTTAAGTTCTTTTTAAATGTATCTCTATTTTGAAAATATTCTGATACCTACTAGAATACTTTCATCAGTCATTGCCCTATCTATGCGAAGTGACAACAGGCCATCTCAATTCTCCCCCATACCCACCATGGCTTGTTTGTCTCCTTTGTAAAGGAAGGTGTGTTCCTGGTGGGCAGAACCATGGAGGTGAAGTGGCCCTGGACTGGAAGGCTGCAGGGAACTCTCTGGGCACTGGATTCCTCAGTGATCATTCACTGAAAGGGCTGTGGTGCAGTTGTTTTGAGAGGCCTGCGAGCCTGGAAGAGTGCGGGACAAAGGCACAGGTTCTACAAGTAATCTATGTCCTAAGGGCCAGACTGATGGAGTCAGGAGAGAGTTCAGGGTTTAAGGTCAAGGATGTGGTGAGCTCTGGTGATGACTCTTGAGTTAGTTAAGAGACAGACGCTGAGCCCTGCACAGCGTTCACTAACATGGGTAGAGAGGACTCCATGAACTTGGACACTGAGGAGCAAGTACTAGGCAGCTCAGGATGCAGATCGCTTGCTTTCCCAAGTTTGTCCATGACTGCATTGTCCCTGCTCTCCACCCCCAGGGAGATGGCTTTGTCCACATCAGGCTTTCCCTTAGCCAATCATTCCAGTCCAGGGAAGGATAGAGGGGCTGTGGAACACAGGAGTGTTCCCCTAATGGACAAGACCTAGAATACACACAGGTCATCTCTCAGGCCAGTGTTCAGAACTTGGGAAGAAGGCCGCTTGAGCTGCAAGGGATGAGGGGACCCTGCTCACTGTTGCAGCCTGAGGGTGCATCTGTGGCCGGAAGGGGTGGCAACAAAAAGAAGGAAAATGGTTCTTATAAATCTGAAATATTCTTGTTAAACCACAATAAAAAACAGTTTGTAAAGGAGGAGATGATAAGAATCAGGAGGCAATTATCAACTTTCTGTAGTCAACAATCTAGAAAACACATGACATCATTTGCAGAAAACACACAAAGCACGACCAGGTCAGTGTTTATAAATTTATTCTTCAAATACTATGGACCATGTGGAGCCTTCATGTGCATCTCAGCAGATCTCATTCAATTACAGCAGCAGATTTGAAACTTCAGTAGGAATTAAGCCTTGTGATTTCTTCAAGAGTCTGCTTGCAGAGAGCAGAACTCACCAGCCACATCCCGTCACCCCTCCTTCCTTGTAGTGTCCATGGCTGGCACATAAAACCAAGAACCTGTGATGACCGTGCAGATGATGCCTGCAGCATCCCTTCCTCTCTCCCCTCTGAGTATTTCATCAAAGGTGCCCATCAACCCATCACTCCATGTGACCAAACCATGAACAAAGAAATGGGATTCATATCCAAAGTTTGATTTTAAGATATGGAAATATTTGGAAAACACAGAATTAGGCAGAACTAGGAAGGAGGAGAAGTCTGATGCAAGCAATCAGAAAGCAGTGGGAGAGTTGACAGCTCGGTGGATTGAGGATGGTGAGCCTCTGTTAGGAGCAGTGTGGCGGGTGTGACTGGGAGGCAGCCATGCTGTGGCTTAGTCAGGCCTTCGATGTTCTTCCCAGCTTGGGACCATGGTCCTTATGTGGGATGTTGGAGGTTGGTAGATCTAAGAGGAAGGCAGAGTCTAGTAGGAGGTAACAAGCCTGTCCCATCTGTGTTCTGTGTTCTGGTTTCCTTTCTCTTAATGTGGCCTCTCCTCTAGCAGGCACTACCACCATCCGGCATTGGTATAAAGAGGATACATTCAGGAATCCATGGCTCTGTCCAGCACACCCCACCCCCAGTCCTCTGAGCTGCACTGAGGAAGAGGTCACTGAGTCAGGCTGTCATGCACCCGGATTAGCTCCTGCAACTTCTGCTCCAGGTCCTGAGCCTGCTGCCGCAGCTTTTCAGCAGACTCTGCCTTTGCACCCTCCTGCAAATGAATTGAGTCTTCTATGAGGCTGACCACATCTAGCACAAGGGAGAGACCTGCAGTGGCCGCACCCATGATCCGGGCTCCTTTGGTCATTGCCAGAGCAGTGCCTCCAAAGGCTTTCTTCACCTGTCTAGTGCTTCGGGCGGACACCTTCCCTGTGGTCATTAGACGCTTGGCATTATTTGTCAGGCGAGGGCTGGCTTTGGTCAGCTTGATGGCATCAATGTTTTTCTTCATGACTTCTAGGTTCCGGAAAGAATTCTTAGATACAGAAAGCATCCTGGGGGTGCTCTTCTCCACAGCTTCTTTAATGATCTTCTCAGTGTTGTTGCTTTTAATGTCACTGTCAGTGTCGTTGTTCCTTGGTAGAAGCTCGCTGGCTTCAGCTTTCACCGACGCCGTGCTTACGGCTTCCACAATGGTTGTGGAAACACTTGTCACAGCTGCTGCTGCCCCAAGCCCCAAGCCTGTGGCTGAAAGTCCCAGACTGATCCCTGCTGTCACAGGTGCCAGAGCTAAACCAAGGATCGCCATGACCCCAGACACAGCACCGGTGGACTTGGCCACCATTTGTGTGATGGTGCAGTCCCTGTGCACCTTGTCAATCTTGTCTGCAAGGGTGTGGAGCTTCCTGATGCTCTCCTCAAGCTCCCGTTTCACCTGAGGATAAACTTCCAAAAACCTTTTCTTCTCCTGCAGGGCGTTTTGGATATCATCTTCATCATCTACATCACTATCCACTGTGGTCTCACCATGAGCTTCACGTGAGGCATCTTCCTCGTCACTGTAACAGGAGAGGCCAACTGAGTGGGGAAGAGAGTTTGGAAAGATCTGTCCTGTGGCCATCAGAGCACCTGCTGGGAATGAACTGGAGGAGAATGCTCCAGCTGCACAGGGCCTTTCTTTCACTGAAGAGCAGGTTTGAGATGGTGATTTTAATTGTTAAGGACACAATGAGTTAAAAACCATATTAATGTGTTCTTTTAATTTTTATTTTATTTGTTTAAATGTTTTTTTTTCTGCAGATGTGTGTGTAACATGTGCAGGCCTGGTGCCATTGAGGGCAGAAGAAGGAATTGGATCTCTAGACCCAGAGTTACAAACAGTTGTGAGCCATCATGAGAATGCTGGGAACTGGACTTCAGCCCCCTGGCAGAGCACAAAGTGCTCTTAACTCCTGAGTCATCTCTAGTCATTTATCACACATTTTTATTGCTAGACATTTAATAAAGATGGCTTCCCCTGAAGACCAGTGTCACCACTACCAACATACTTCTCTATAGGAACTCTAAAACACAGAGAAGTGAGGTTAGAGAAAAATAACCCTGTATTTTAGGGAAGTTAGTGTTCTCCAAAGAGTACACTTTCCCCAATAAAAGAACCTCCTCTTGGCATCAGCTACTGGGAACTGACCTGTCTACCCTACAGTGACCTGCTGGTTTGGGATGTCCACATTTGCTTGGAGACTTGCGACTCGAGAGTCTGCAAATTTCACACCCCTGAGAGAGAACCCTGCACAGGACATCCTTTGAAGCTACATGTGAGTTTTCACTGCACCTGTGTGTACTACACCTGAGCTGGTGGGGCCGCTCACAGCTGAGACCCTTCCACTCAAAACCCATCACACAAAGTTCCCTTCCAGCTGTGAGTAGAAGATAAAGAACCACGAGTGGGTCCCCATTTACATGTGGGTCCCATCCCCAAGGCATCCCACTGTGCCTCTGCAAGTGTTTTCTTGGCAGGCAAAACTGAGAAAGCACAACATGTAGGCTCCCTAGCTCTCGCTAGATTGAATTTCCAGGCCGAGAAAAGTGATGTGTGGTGGGATTTCGCTGTCATTTCTGACTTCCAGGGGAACTAGACTCTAAAGGCACGGACTCCAGGAGGGAGGGAGACCCCAGGACACTCGTGGGGACTGTGTATGTGATCAAGGCCCAACAAACTTCTGGACACTGAGACTTAGGTGAACAAAAAATTTTCTTGAGAAAACTTCAAGCTTATTTAAACTGCCCCCCCCCCCCCCGGTATAGATAGACCTTGGGTTTCTGTCTTCCCTGTTCATGCTGGGCCTGACCTGCCCATGCTTAGCAAGAGTCCCAAGTCAGGTGGTGAGAACACTCTACCTTTGATTCTCAATATTTAGTCAGGTTCCCTATCGTGGTACAAACACGTGGACCTGAGCTCAGTCTTGCAGAGTCCACATAGAAAAACTCAGTGCTGGACCTGACCTTCAATCCCTGTTTGGGGATGTAGAGTCACGAGGATCCCTGGTGCTCTCTGGTCAGCCAGTGTAGTCAAATTGATGACTTCCAGGTACATCAATGTAATTGTTTTCAAAGGGGCTGGAGAGAACGGCTGCTTCATTCAGATTGTGTATTTCACCCCCATTCGGTGGCTCACAGCTGAAGGGGTCTGGTGTCCTTTTTGGCCTTCATGGATAACATTGTGGTTTAGGGACCTCACTCATACACTCACTTAATTTCAGTACCTTGGTTTCTTAAAGGTTCTATGTCCAAAAACAGTCACCTGTGTTTAGGGCTGAGTTTAGGAACACAACTCAGTCCCTACTGCTAGTGACGTCATTAAAATACATCCCATGGCAGGTGCTCAGAAACACATTCAAACAGCTTCTCCCTGATGCCGTTCAAGCTCTTATGCATAGTCTCCTTACCCTATTCTCCCCTTTTTTCCAAACCTGAGAGAAAAAGCTTCATTGATCTGTTACTGAGTACCTCTCCATCTTGTCCTCTTCATCTTGTACATCAGGATCTGGAACGATCTCAGCAAGAGCTTCACGCAAGACAACTTCCTCTTCCCTGTACCAGGAGAGACGGACTGAGTGAGGGAGAGAGCTTGTAAGATAAGCTCACTCAAGTTCAGGAAGTATACATGCACGCACACACAAACTAAAAATAAAACCTTTTGTAAAAATCAACTTTCAATAAACCCCTACTATATGCTGGTCTGCATGTTGGTCATATGCTGAGCCCCCCACATGCATCCTCTTATGAAATTCAATGGTCTCCAAATGAAGCAGAAGGAAGTAAATTAAGTTCTTATGGACACAGGAGTAGCAGTGGCAGAAACAATCCTGTCCCCTGTGACTACCATCTCTGCTCAACCAGAGGCCGTCCCCTGCTAGTGATTAGCATTGAGGAAATATTTACAGAGAAGGGACACCCTGAGCACTAATTACTTGGTCTACCTGCATAGAGAATTCCTGCCCAGAAAAAGCCAGTGACACATGGCTCTGGTAGCTTGGCTAGCATCCCTAGGGAGGTGACCTGGACAAACCAGCTTCTTCCACAAACTGTTTCCAGGCTTCCTCTTCACTCAGCACGAACTGCAGGACCTCTATGTTCATTGTGTCCAGGAGGTACCCAACCATAGACTCAACGAACTCATTTCTCTCTAGATTGGTTGGAAAAAGAATATGGTTAGAGAAATGTGCTTGAGAGCTTGAATGACATCGGGAAGCAGCTGGTTAAATGTTTCTGAGCATCTGTCCCTTGAAGTATTCTTTGGTGTCACTAGGGGTAGAGGCTGAGTTGTGAGTCTTAACTCATTTGTAAAAGCCCCAATGCAGGTGACTGTATTTGGACATCTAGCCATTAAGGAAACAAAGTAATGGAAATTAAGTGAGGCCATGAGTGAGGTCCCCAATCCACAGTGTCAGTGCCCTCATAGCAAGAGGAAGACACCCCCTTCCTCCTTTTCCCTCCTCTATCTTACCCCCTCTCCCTTTTCTCCCTTCCCTTGCCTCTCTTCCTCTCTCCAGGCACATATACAGCCCATAGGCTGGTACAGGCTCCCTCTCCACCAGGAAGAGATGCTCACTATGGCCCATCCTGCCACACTTTGATTTTGAACCTTGGATTCTTGGGCAGTGAGAGAAGAGGCCTTTTCTTTAAAGCCACCTAACCAGTGTCACTTTGTGATGACACCCTGAGAAGACCAATGTACCAGAGCCGTGCCATGGTGCTTTGCAGAGACAGGTATTGTTTTTAGGCCAGAACAAGCAGGAAGTGAGTCCTCTGAACCCAGAGGAGGGAAATTCTAATGATGGTTTCCACTTAATGTGTGCCTGTGTCACGGTCCTTGAATGTAAGTTTTCTTAAATATTTATTTTTATTTATTTGTTTATTTATTTTAATATTTTAAATTTTTTTTAATTTATTTTTTAGTTTTTTTTTAAGCCTACAGCTTAAAAAAATTCCCAGGTGGTCTCCCATCCAAGTACTAATCAGGCCCGACCCTGCTTAGCTTCCGAGATCAGATGAGATCGGGCGCATTCAGGGTGGTATGGCCATAGACTATTTATTTTTATTATGTATACAATATTCTGTCTGTATGTATGCCTGCAGGCCAGAAGAGGGCACCAGGCCTCATTACAGATGGTTGTGAGCCACCATGTGGTTGCTGGGAATTGAACTCAGGACCTTTGGAAGAGCAGGCGATGCTCTTAACCACTGAGCCATCTCTCCAGCCGAAATGTAGGTTTTTCCTTGATTTTTATTTTATGTATGGGAATATTTGCCTGCTTGTATGTATGTCTATGCACCATGTGTGCGTCTGGGGCCTAACGAGGGTTTTGGATCCCCTGTAGCGGCAGTTACAGACTGTTGTGAACCTGATGTGGGAGTTGGGAACTGAACCCATGTCATCTATAAGAGCAGCAAGTGCTCTTAACTGCTGAGCCTCTCTCCAGCTTGAAACCTGACTTTTGACACTGGAATGGTTAATTATTAATCCTGAGTTTCACTCCAGAGGATGAATAAACATGTATGAGATCACCCGCCCTTCTCTATGCGGTCTGTGAGGAGCGTCCAGATGTCAGTAGAGCATGGGTGCTGGGAGTGCATGAGTGGTTCAAAGACTGAGCTGAGGCATCATGGGAAGTGGGGCCTGGTTGGAGTCAGAAGGGCACCTGGGATGTGACTGTGGGACTGATGGGTGTCTTGTCTTGTTCCTTTCTTGTTACTGCTTTGTCTGTTTTTTTTTTTTTTTGTGTGTGTGTGCCATGATATGAGTTGCCCACTCTGTCTCCCTGCCAGGATGGATTGAATCATACAATATTGTAAACAAAATAAGTCTATTCTCATTGGTCAAAATATAATCAAAGTGAGTAACAGTAGTTTTTTTAAATTTTTTTTTTAAAAAAAATATGCACTGGTGTTTTGCCTGCATGTGCGTCTATGTGAGGGTGTCAGATCCCCTGGGACTGGAGTTACAGATAGTTGTGAGCTGCCATGTGGGTGCTGGGCATTGAACCTGGATTCTCTGGAAGAGCAGCCAGTTTCCTCAACCGTTGGGCCATCTCTCCAGCTCTAAGTAACACTAGTTTTAAAAACTAGCTTTCAGTGAATGAATGAATGAATGAATGAATGGTCTACTGAGCCAGTGGAAGAATTTTAGAAAGGAAATGGAGGTAGTATAGTGGTGCATGACTTTAATCCTAGTACTTGGGAGGCTAAGGCAGGTGGATCTCTGGGATTTAAGGCCAGGAGAAGCCAGGGAACACAGGGATTGGGGGACTGGTGAGGATCAGGTTGGTGTAGGGTAGTTCCTGGGTGTAGGGTGGTTCCTGGGTGTAGGGTAGTTCCTGGGTGTAGGGTGGTTCCTGGGAGTAGGGTGGTTCCTGGGTGTAGGGTAGTTCCTGGGTGTAGGGTGGTTCCTGGGTATAGGGTGGTTCCTGGGAGTAGGGTGGTTCCTGGGTGTAGGGTGTTCCTGGGTGTAGGGTGTTCCTGGTTAGGAGCCATTTGTGGGTGGAGTTTTTCTTTCAGTTTCTTCCAGGGTTTCAGCTTCAAGTTCAGACTTTTCTTTTGAATGAGAAAAGACACCATCAGGCCCCACCTTAGGTAGGCACACCTGGTAAAGGAGCTCTGGTCCTGCAGGGAAGGGCCGGTGCTCTAACACAGCCTGCAATGGGAATTGGATTCCTTGGAATTATTGGAGTCCAGGGAGAGGAGGCTACAACAAGGAGGGTCTGCTGTGCAGCATGCTCCAGCCTGCCTGTATTTTGTTCTGATCCTCAGAACAACATGGAGACACTGGGCCCCGAAGGACAGGCAATTTGAGGTGAGAGTTTCCAGGTGACAGAGATGGACTGAGCAAGGTCTCACTGAGGTGCAGTTACTTCCTGCTCAGGCAGTTAGGAAAGGTGGGTGCCTGAGTGGGATAGGGTGGGCTCCCTCCTCAGGGACAGGGCCCCAGTGTCAGCTGAGAGTGCGTCTCCATGAGGGGCTGGAACTGCCTCCCCTCTGAACCTTATTGCCTCCTGTTCCCTCCGTTCTTGTTCCCCTCCCTCCTTCAACTCCTTCCCCTTTCTCTCCCTCAGCCCTCTCTCCCTGCCACCCAGCCTGGCATCCATTTTTCAGGCTGGTTACTGAGAAGGTGACTTCTGAGAATGCACCCCAAGACAAGGCCAGGAAGGGGGGCTACTCTGACTCAGGACTGGGGAGCTCTCTGCTCCCCCTTGGGGTTCTCCTCCTGCATCTTTGACTTCTCAGCAGGGAGGCCCTGGCAGTCCTAGGCCATGAGCAGCAGCAGAGAACAGACTGATTACCTGGGGAGCCCATGACAGCTGTGGTCTTGGTGTCGCTCAGGGGATCCTGACAGCTTTCCTTACAGCTCACCGGGTGTCCAGGCTACAGGAGGAAATAACAGCCTGTGGGACAGAATGGGGACAGCTGTTGTGACCAGGGATCTGCTGACCCATAGTTCTCTAAATGGTGACTGCCGAGGGCAGAAAGAGCTGAACCCAAAGCTTGTCTGCTCCTCTGGACTCTGTGACTGCTATTTAAGGGAGCCTGTCCTCTGGCTGCAGTCCTGCTGCCCCCGGTCCTGGCAAGGAGGAGGACTAATGGCATGCTGGGGACAGTGGAGAAGGTGTCAGCTGAGGACACAGCTGTGGAGAAACAAAGACCCTGCACACAGAATGAGAGATGGAGAGGAATGTTCTGGTAGCCACCTGGGTGTGGGCACTGTGTTTCTATTGATGGTCACTTCTTTCTTTCTTTTTTTCCTTCTTCCCTCCTTCCTTCCCTCCCTCTCCCTCCCTCCCTCTTTCTTCTTCTTCTTCTTCTTCTTCTTCTTCTTCTTCTTCTTCTTCTTCTTCTTCTTCTTCT